TTGAGAAATAAAGAGAAGTTAATGCCACATTTGGACTTCAACAAGTTCAAGACTGGTCCAAGAAATTAAGTCTAAGAAATTAAGACTTTCTAAACAATTTATCATAGCAAGTTCACAAATAGCTGAGGAAAGTATGGGCAAAAGAATCATTAGACTGCAGTACACCATATTGAAAAAATGTTTTCAAAGAAAGAGTATCAAGTCTATGGTAAAAATGGATGAACAGAATGTGGGCAAACCAGTGCAGAGCACAGTCCTAAGAGTAGCAATAATAAAATATTTGTCAACGTCAACTTTTCAACTAATAGAATTAAAGATTACCTTCGCTAATCTAATGATTATACTGAACTTTTTGGTGAGTTTTTTGGTTGAGACCTGCACCTGTTTTTAAAGAAAGAAAGAAAATTACAATTATCTTTCTACTGAAACAAAATGAATGGAGTAAGAAAAAGCACAAACTTTACTCATCTGAGAAAGAGCAACTGTAATAACAAGACAGGAAGATGGAGAAACTCCACACAGAGGCAGCAGTATGTTTATAGCAGCTTGCAAAAAGAATCTGTTACCAAAGAACAGCTATTTTCTCATACGTAGCAGGAATAAAATACAAGATGTCATTTTCTAACTACTCCTCCTTCTAAGTCTTCAAGCTGTTATATGTACAACTTAGGGCAGTACAACATCAAGACAAATAGACAAAATAGAATTCAAATAACACAAAAGACATTTAGAGGCTTAGAAATGTTGACTTATGTAAAGATGATAGAAAGAAGCAGCTATGTTCAATAAGTAGATTAGATGGTGGAAGATGTTGTAGCAGTCTTTGATATGTGCATGAATGTTATGTGAAAAAAAGGAACATAAATTGTTTTTCCTTGATCTCTGGAAAGAAATCAAGAAGTGTTATTCCTAACTCCAACAAAAATGTTTCATGTAAAACATTAGGAAAAGTGCTTCCTAGCAGTGTGAATTCGAACAGATTGCAAGAGAAAATAAACCACTGGTGATATTTTAGCAGAAAACTAGATGGAAATTATTGGGAATGACACTACTACAGCTCATTCAGGGTGAAAGTAAGAAGATAGGAAGCCCTCAGTTCCTTTTGTGCTTTATTTTCTGAAATCTCAGAGTCTTTCTCTGGGAATCTTCCCAAAATTTGTACTATATTTTATATATATAGTACTAGATATATATATATATATATGTATGTATGTATGTATGTATGTGTATATATATATACACACATACAGTGAGTATATATATACGTATACATATATATATACACACACATTTATTTTGATTAACAAACTATGCTAATGTCTATTTTCAAACAGTGTAACTTCATTTAGAATTCAGACTTAAAGGGATAGTATACTAGACACATAACGCGGATTTGGGAGTTTTCTTGGAAAATATTCATTTTCCACATACTCTTTAAATAAACTTCAGGGAAGAATCCCTCCACTTTCTCCACAGTTCGAAAATAAATGAATGTATGAAAAAAAATCAGGCTGTTCCAGCTTAGAACTCCTGCATTTGGAAGCATCCTTGTGTAAAAAGTTAAAACTTGAAGAAGTAAGAATGAATACTTCTTTTGGCCCTGTCAGAAAACACTTCAGAATGAATTTCTTCCACTTTTCAAAGGAGAGAGGAAGAGATTATATTCTTTCATAAGTATCTTTGGCAGCACTGAAGTCTGCAACAGAGATTTGAAAACATCTGTAATTCTCCTTACAATCCATTATATACAGAGACCAAATAGAAAAGAATCTTCTCCGGAGAAGTCTTATAAATACTTGAGAAAATAAAAGTGATCGTGCCAAATTATTCAGAAAATAATCAAGTACCCACGCTACTTTGTTAGACAGCAGATTCTAAAAATATTTTTGGGTATGACTGTAATTCTCACTTATAAAATTTTGAATATATTAAAATGTTATTATATGTATATTATATATATATACATATATAATATATATATATATTTATAAATGTTATATATATATTTATAATGTATATTATAAAATGTTGAAAGGTTATGTTGAATTATTTCCTCTATGACAAATAGTAACAATTTCTGGAGGAAATGCAAGTTATTTCTGGGAGGAAAAACAAGGTGCCAAGGTTTAGTTCAGTATGGGTTGCTATTATTTCCTACAAATGTTTCCCTGGGATTTCCCGAAATTATATGGAAACAGGACTGTAAAAATAAGAACTCTTCTCTTTGGAAAGCAGTGGTTTAAACCTCAAGGAAGACTTTCCTTTATATAAATCTTTAAAAGTTGTCTTTAAATATGTATCTGTATATATTTTCCTCTGAAGTTCAAGAGTGGTAGGAAAGTAGAACAAACAGACAAAGGACTTTGATAAGAAATCCATTTTGGATAATGCATTACACAAAATATATTTTGAGAAGAAGGAAAAAATAAAAAAAAAAAAAATGGAAAAACAGAAGGAAATTTCTTCTTCACAGAAGAATCATAGGAATGAATTTTCAATGATAGTTGATAAGGCAGTAGACAACAGCAGAAAGTAGAGCTAAAACTCTGTTTTCGTACTGAGAAGACTAAAATTTATACTAACAAAGAAGGATAAAGTCCAACCTAAAACCTTCTGCATAAAACTCCAGCTGCTCTGGTACCTTTACTGAAGCAAAAGAAATGAAGCAGAAATTTCTGCATCAGGGAAACTGTACTCCATTTAGTAAGTGAACAACCAACCCAAAGAACAAACATAACTTGTCCCCTCTCAAATATTTTCTTGAGTTACAAACCAAACTTATTCCTCATTCAATTTCTGTCAATTAGACAGCTATCATTCAGTTTTGAAATGATCCAAGACTTTGCAACCACAGTCTCCAAATCACCATACGCCTTTGCTATTTCCATGTCAAAAATACAGAAATGTCTTGCAGCCTTTTATCTTCAATAATTCCCTCACATTTCTATACTACATAAGAAAGTATAGATATTGTAATACCCTTCCCTGAGATCTATTTCTTGGCTCACATCTAGTGCCATTCTTTCTGTTCTCCCACACAATTACATATTTTGCTGATTTTCTTTATCACGGTTTGCAACATGTCAACCAAACTTTCAAAGGCTACTGACAGCAGCATTGAAAATTTCACAAATTTATAAGCACAATCAACAACCTTCACTTCAAATCAAGACAAAAACTCACTGGAATTACATACTCTAAACAGTACTGTTATTATCTAGATGTCTTCAGGACATTTGTAAAATTAGATTGGCAGAAGTAAATGCAAGGTTCTTGGAGCATCAAGAACTCATTCTCCTAATCAGGATTCGTTAATCTCAAGGAAAGAACAGTGGTATCACCACTAGTAAAGTATTTCAGTTATGCGCTTTATCATCAAGAAAAATAAATCTTACAGGTAAGTAAATAAAAAAATACCTCTTGAACTTTTTCAGTACCCATAATGCTGAAACATTACAACATGAACAGCAGAATCGGACTCTTTTCAAGAAGAAAAAAAAAGAGAGATCTCTTCAAAATGGGTTCTGAGACAGCCAATTTAAACAGCTGCAATTTAACAAAAAATAATTTAAATATTCTTCTGGCTGAGTAGTTATCACATATCTAAATGGAAGAAGCTTAGTTTCACAGTGTTGTGAATGTTCTACAAACATGGATTTTGTGTAATTAGTTTAAGAAAAACAAGCACGTTTAGTCTTTGGCATTTATATATGTCTTACAAGTCCTTTAGCACAAGATCTCCTAAAATAATGATGCCACTGGCACACTATACAAAATTCTTTTGTCTTGCATTTGAGTCACATTTTTTTTTACATCACTGCCAATGTACATATATATTAGATGAACCACAGCGATCATTTAGCAGTCACAGAATCAAAGAATAATTCAATTAAGACCTCAGAAGGTCTATAGTCCATCTGTTGGCTCAAACTGGGGTGAGCTAAGTCAAATCATTATGCGTGATTTTATCCTTGAAAACCTCCTGGAATGGAGAATGCACAGACTCTCTGGACAGCCTTGATTGACTATCCTGATAATTAAAAAGGTTTTCCCTATATTCAGACAAAACCTTCCATTTCAATTTATGTTCGTTTTAGCTCATCCTTTTTCCAAACCGCTCTGAAGAGCCTCTCCATAGGTTTGGGAAGGCTGCTTTCCCTGACTCTGAGGACTTGATTTATCCAAGCTGAAAAAGCCTAACAACCTCACCTTCTCTGCAGTCACTCCCTTCTCCTTATCAACCTAATCTGAGTATCCAGAAATAATCAATTGTGTTCCAGGGTTAAAAGGGAAGGAAGAACTCTTGTATCTTTCTACTATTTCTGTATAACACATAAGCACTAAAAACCTCTGCTATCAAAAATACATTCAAACCCCTGCTTCACTAAGTCTCATGCATCTCCATAACTGCTTTTTAACAATAACATTATCAATAGTGGTATGCTTTCTAGATTTTAGCATAAAGAATTATTTTGAGCAGATTTTTTCTGTTCCATTTCAACTGACATTTTGCCCTATTCCTTCTCCATAGCTAAGGTGTTCAGGCCTCATTTATGCTACGTGTATTGTGTTCATTGAACTACTTTCAATTTCATGATCTTTCAATTTGATGATTGCAATTACGAAAAAAGTTGCATGTTAAAACACTTTCAAGGTGGTCAAGAGTTCAATACTCGTAATGCTGCCTTGAAACTACTTGTTATGCAGAGCAACTGAATCCATTGTTATAAACAATTCAAATCCTCACTTTAGAAAGGATTTTGAATCCTTCTGTCCTCCATTAATTTAAGATATGTTTTGAAGTACCATTTGTCAATTTTTGGACCTCCAGAAATTTCTCCTGGATGAGGGCTCAAAATAATTTTGTTACTGAAATCTAATTACATACTCCTTAATTCTACTGGAAAACAGAATTCAGAAGGACTAACTAAATACCTCTTTAAACTCTCTGTTCCTTTAAATTAAGAAAAATACATTGATACATATGACTGCTAGACTACCTTTAGGGGTTCCATCACTTCCAGCTGGAGAACAGACTGACTGTGGTGACCTCAAGGAAAAAGATGCAGCATTTCTTATTGAAGGATCGCCATCCTAAAGTGACAATAATAAAAAATACCATTATAAGCATGAATATTTCACAAAATAAAGTAAAATTAGTACATACATTGATAAAATCAACTACCTGAAAAAACAGACAATAAATATTATAAAAATATTTATTTATATAAAAATTTTTACAATTTAGGCTGTCATAAAGTAATGTTCCAGAGCACAAGAGCTCTTAGAAGAAACAATCACCAGAATATGCTCAGAAAAATACATTCATATGCAAAACTTTCTTGTTACAACCAGTTATAGCAGAATAAGCAAAGTATGAACTCTATAATAACAACGAGAATTGAGCATAAAAATTAGAATTTTAAAACACATTAAACAGTTTTTCCACTTAGCCTACCCCTAAAGCATATCTAGAATACAACCACAGTTTTACATTTAAGCAATAATAATATTTTCCTTAAATCGCTGTCATGGAGCCCTCTGCTGGCCAAGAATATATATATATATGACTATATATATATAGTCAATGAAATAGATTTAAACTTTGATAGAACAGTATTTCCTATCATAAGCATTGTTTTTTAAACAACGATAGGATTGCTGGGGGTGGGGAGGGGGAGGAACACAAACAAATCAGCAACCTTTTTAACTATGAGAAAATAATTTCTGTAGTATAAATAAATTGCAAAAAGTCAATTCTTTTAAATTAAATCTTTTAAAGATTTCATTCACATAACTCCTTATATGAAAGATTCTTTTCATAGAACTCCTTTTTTATCTCTTCCCTTTTTTTTTTTTTTTTTGAATCTGAATTTTCTGTCCCTTATCATTATAGCCAATTTCAACTCAATAGAACATTAGTTGGTTCAACTGTAAGTTTCTACATGCTTCTACAAAAAAAAAAAAAAAAAAAAAAGATAAATAAAAAGAAAAACATCAGTAAGTCAGAAAGCTAAACTGGCATTTGAAGGAGATAGAAGCCTACACAGATGGGCAACTGCACACTCCCTTTAGTAATGGCTAATGGCTAAACAGACAGTTCTCCAATGCATACTAGCAGATGAGCTACAATACACATTATGTCACACAGAGGAATAGTTCATGCTATCAGATCAAAAGAAAGAGCTTTTCACCTGACAGTAATTATAATTAAAATAAAAGTGCAAGTTTACACTGTTTACAAGAGCCATAGAACATATTGAGCTGGAATCCATGATGATTGCCAACTCCTGACTTGAAAGAAGGCAACCCAATAGCACTGTCCAAATGCTTCTTGAACACTAACAAACCTGTAGTCATGACTCTGGGGTACAGTATCTGAACCCCCTGCCAGTGAACAACTTAATATATAATCTGAACTTTATCTGACACAGCTCTAAGGCATCACATCCTATCACTGGTTCCCAGAGAAAAAGGATCAGCACCTCCTTCTCTGCTCACCTTTGAGAGGAAATAGACAGCAGCCATCTCTCAATTTCCTGTGAGATGCACAAAACAAAATTTCTCAGCTGTTGCTCATGCGTTACGCCTCCTAGTCCTTATAGCATCTCTGCTGCTCTTGTTTGGACACATTCTAATGATTTTATACCATCTTTATATTGCAGACTCTCTGCAATAAAACAGCATTCATTATTCAGGATAAGGCCATTCTGATGCTGAGTCTAATGGAGCAACCACTTTTTTCAGCTGGCTAGTTATACTGAGCTTAATGTACCCCTAAAAAATGGCTGGCTCTTATGGCCAGTGAGGTAGATTGTTCGCTCATATTGAGCTTATCACAAACAAAAAAAAATTAGTGATTGCCTCATGCTCAGATCTATGAATATATCACTGCAAGGCCTATCTACTCTCAAGGGAATATATCATTCTTCCTCCTCCCAATTTAGAACTGTCTGCAAACTTAGTGTGCACTCATCTCCTGTGTCCAGGTCACAGATTAAAATTTTGAAGAGGACTGGCCTAAAACATGGGGAACATGACAAGTGGCTTGCCACCAGTTTGATGTTACTCCATTTACTACAACTCCTTGAGCGCAACTCTTCTCTCAGTTGTTCACTCATAATATCGTATACATATGTACAGTATCTGGCTGTACGTTGGATATTTTGTTGAAGATATTATGAGAGATACTACCAAAAACCTTGCTAAAATCCAAAAAAATTCATTTGCATCCACTGCTTTTCCTTTGTTAACTGGGTGAACAACCTTGTCATACCGGAATATTAAGTAACTAAGTCATGACTTTCTCTTCATGAACCCATGTTGCTTTAGAATTACTGCCAACTCTTTCATATGTTCTTCAACAAGTCCCAGAATAATGTCCATAGTTTTACTAAGCACCAAAGTTAGAGTAACAGTACCGTCACTACCAGGATATTCTTTCTTACCCTTTTCGAAAATTGGAAAAACATCAGCAAGCTTCCAAACAGCTGTGAACTCTCTAAATTCCAAAGACCATTGATAAGTAACTGAGAGAGGTTTGGTAATAATTTCATCTATTTCCTTCAGTATCTTGAGATGAATTCCACTGAGTCCTGTAGACTTATGTGCATTTAGCTGCAGCAGTAAATCCCATACATGTTCAGTGTCAACTGCAAGCTTATCACTCTCACAAACACAGGACCCCAAGAGTTCCAGGACCCACCAGTGGCATTAAAAACAGATGCAAAAAAAAAAAAAAGTCTCACTCTCTCTTCATCCCAATTTGTAAGGTGACCAATTGTCAAGTAATGGACCAACGCCTTTTTTAGATTTCCTTTTGATGTTAACATACTTTAGAAAACCATCTTAGTTATCCATTACAGCACTGGCCAACTTCAACTCTAACTGAGCTTTGGCTGAATCAATTTTCTCCCTACAGTGACGAAGAGTTTCCAAAGTCCATACGATTTCTTTTTCCCACCTTTGTTCCTGAAGGAGAAAACTGTTCAGCCAAGCCAGCCTTCAGCCCTCATCATGGCTAAGTGATCTACCGTAGACTCACATTAACAATACCTGCTTTATTAGTTTTTATCCTAAATCCTTACAGAGACTTTCAACCCTGGCAGCAAGCACTGTACAATCCAGCACTTTCTTTACATGCAGCATTATCTGTCCACCACACCTTTTCATGCCTGTTTCTTCAGTATCATTCCCTACAGCTGGAAAGACAAAGAATAGTATTTGCATTTCTGATTCCTTCACCAATTTCCTCAGTGCCATGAAGTCTCTTTTGATTGTCCTTGGACTTCTCGAAAAAGCAATTGTAGATGATAACCTAAGGTGACATACAAGCCTGTATGCAGGGGAGTTTTTTGATCCTATAGAGCTCAATGTTGATAATGCTAAGGTTGGGTCCATATGAGTAAGGATCAGAGGAAGGCCAACAAGGCAAATAAAGTGACAGGCATCTGTTACAGATCATCCAGCCAGGAAAAAGTGACAGAAGTAGTATTTTATAAGTAGCTGGCAAAAACCACACAGTCACTTGCCCTTGCTCTTGTGAGGAACTTCAACTTATCAGACATTTGCTGGAAATATAAGTACAATCCACCAGAGAGGAAACAGTCTAGGATGCTTGTGAAGTATGTGGAAGATGACTTCCTGACACAGATGTAAGAGAGTCTATCAGGGGAGCTGCCTCACTAGACCTGCTGTTTATGAACAGAGAAGGCATGATGGGAGATGTGGTCAGAAGCCCTTTTGGGCATAGTGACCACAAAGTGATAGGTTTTCAATTCTTGGTGAAGTCAGGAGGAAGGCCAGCAAAACCATGAACTTCTGGAGGACAGACCTTGGACTGCTTAGGACATTGGTTGAAGAAGTCCCTTGGGAGATAGTTCTGAAGAGCAAAGGTGTCCAGGAAGGCTGGATGCTTTCTCAAGAAGGACATCTTAATGGCATAAGAACAGGGCATCACCTTGTGCTGCAAGATGAGCTGTCACAACAACTGCAAGCAATGCTACAGGTTTTGGGCAGAATGGTTGGAAAACTGCATTGCAGAAATGGATCTGGAGGTGTTAGTCAACAGCCAGCTAAACACGAGCCAGCAGTGTGCCCACGTGGATCTCCTGGCTTGTATCAGAAATAGTGTGGCCATCTAAGGAGATGACTGTGCTCCTGTACTCAGCACCGGTGAGGCCATTCCTTGAGTGCAATCTATTCTGGGCCCTTTACTACAAAAGAAAAACACCAAGGAGCTGGAACGTGTCGAAAGAAGGGTGACGGAACTGGTGAAGAGTGTGAGGAGTATCTGAGGGAACTGAGATTGTTTAGCCTGGAGAAGAGGAGGCTCAGGGGAGATCTTATCATTCTCTACAACTATCTGAAATATAGACGTAGTGAGGTGGGAATACATCTCTTCTCACAGATAACTAGCAATAGAATAAGAAGTAATGGCCTCACATTGTGCCAAGGGTGGTACAGGTTGGATATTAGTAAAAATTCCTTCTCTGAAAAGAGTGATCAAGCACTGGACCAGGCTGCCTAAGGAAATGGTGGAGTCACTGTCCCTGGAGGTGTTCAAGAAACACGGAGATGTGGCACTGAGGGACATAGTTTAGTGGGCACGATGGTGATGGACTGACAGCTGGAATTTATGGCCTTAGAGATCTTTTCCAACATTAACAATTCTATGATTCTTTGAAGTAACCTGGAAACATCCTTAATTCAATACCCAGGGATTCAGCAAAATTTGCTAAATGACTAGTTGGCAGATCAGGCCCCCTGCTCCCGTCTGAAGAAAGTCATGCATGCAATAAACCACCCTTTTTTCTTTATGGAGATGGCCACGATGCTGGGAATCAGTTGACCTAACCCTTGTTTCTCCTATACCACAGATGGGTCCTCAACCATATATCTTTATGGGTCCTCCACCATGTCATTATGTCCCTGTCCTTCCAATTCCAGAGACTCACAGCTGTTGTGAAAGAACACCTGAGAAGGCAAAACAGACCAGCAACTAGCTTCTGATGAAATTTTGTAACTACTGTTACACTGTTACATTGCAGGCATCAATACTTACAGTACTGACCTCACAGTTCAAAGATCTAGTAAAAAAATACTATTGGAAACTTAGGTACTCTCTCTCAAGAGCTGTTAAGAGACTGTGTTGAGCTTTTAAGGAACCTCCATCAAACTACATCTGCATGATTAAGATGAAAAATAATCAATAATTTAGAAAAAAAATCACCACAGACAAAAACTGGGGGGAACTTCGTTCAGATATTAGAGTTCAAGATATCAGAAAGAATTACTACCACATAAACTAAAGCCACGAGGATAAAATTTCTTGAAAAGAAACCAAACCATAATACACATGTAAATCAGTAAGAAAAACTGTCTATGTGACCTCTTGCCTTTGGCAATACTATCATGCTACTGGATACGTTGCTCAAATATGTCAATTCTAATTGAGAAGTACGAGTATTTAGAGAGACAAGTTAATCCTACACCTACTTAGAATCTGGTATTGTTAGCATCAATATACTGATGTAATTACTGCAGTGACACTTTACCATTTTATTAACATAAACTTGTGAATAAGTAAAATTTTTTGCTTATCGTAATTTCAACAGAGTGCTACAAACTGTTGAAAAGGAAAGAGATATCTTCTACAAGAACTGAAACCTCACATGTTAGAGTTGCACAGTTGAGTGAATATGTCTGAAACTTAGATGTTTTCAAGTGGTTTTATAAATCAACAACAGTATAGTAAAACATCTGTCTTACAAGGCAACTAAATATGTTTTATGATAAATTGATTTAGGTAACATACATCACTACTTAATCTGTGCACCATCTGTAGGTAGTCTTCATTTGATCCATGTCTAGAATTATCAGCATGATGATTAGCTGAATTTCCCGACAACTGACTTGAAACTTTATTTTCATGGAGATTCCTCATCCCTGCTGTGACAATAGGACAAGCTGAAATGCAAAAACAAAACAAAACAAAAAAGTAAATAATTGTACTGATATATATATATATGTATATACACTCCTTAGCTCTTAAAGTTTCATGAATGTTACCATAAAAGAGGAAATCGCTGAGCTGTATACAAGAGGTCTGGAATCTGAACAAGAATAGGGTTTTTTTGTTATTTTTTTTTTTTTTTTTTTGTTTTAATTTTTTTTATTTTTTTTTAATTGTATCCTTTAGCCACAAGTACCCTGAATAAAATCTGGTGTGTAAGATTTGAATTTTCAAGATTTACAATCTAAGTTCCATGTACATTAGACAAGCTCTTTCCACACCTATTCTGGGTCAACTTAGTATTAGTCTCGTTTACACTACAAAGGTTTATTAAAGTGAGGTAACCTCACAGCAAAACTTAGTTACGCAGGAAAAAAATGAATTTTTTTGTCTGGTACAGACAAATGATGGCCATCAAATAAAAGCCTTAGGGTTTGCTTTTTAGTTGTTATATATGTGTGATAACTATGCAAAATAGGTGTACACTGGGAAGAAATGTCACGTGAAGAGACATTTTACATTTTTTTCCTTCTTCTTTTTCTTTTCCTTTTTTTTTTTTTTTTAATACTGTAACTTTTGGAGGAGGTTGAAGGGAGGCCTCATGGCAGCCAACAACTTCCTAAAGAGAAAAAGTAGGTAACCAGGTGCTGATCGCTTCTCTCTGGTGACAGCTACAGGACCCAACGAATGGCATGGAGCTGTGTCAGAGAAGGGTTAGGCTGTGTGTTAGGAAAAGGTTCTTCACCATATGGTGATCAGCCCCTGGAACAGGCTCCCTGGTCATGGCTCAAATTTGCCAGAGGTCAAACAGTGTTTAGGCAGTACTCTTAGAGATAGGGTTTGATTTTTGTGTGGTCCTGTGTGGAGTTTGATTCTTGTGGAAACCTTACAACTTGGAATATTCTATTATTCTGTGATGTTCTGCAGTTAGGTAAACAAAGATAAATATAACAACAAAAAAATTCTATCAATACAAAGACTCACGTTAAGCTTGTGACTCAAGAGCCATGAAACGTGCACATGAAAGTAAACATCACAGACTTACCTTGCTGCAGCTGAGGATGCGGTGTGTAACTTGGAGGATGTGAATATGGCATGTATCCTGCAGGGCTTTGAGGAGCATATGGACTAGGCACTGGACTGTTCTGTTGTGCCAAAAATCTGTTACCAGAGCTTGTCTGTGGTGGCACAAACCGGCTAAAAATAAAATTTTAAAGGATTTGAGAAGTTGTAAAAACAAATTTAGACAATGTTGTTATTCCTTTTGAAATAGTATATATCTGGAACATTTTAACTTCTGGAAAAGACATTATTCTAACGCAATGAAGAAACCTCTTCAAAAGCAGCATTTAAATCCATCAATGCCGTCTCAATTTCAATTACTACTTAGGAGTCAGAAAGTGGGTACTGTATTAGTAAAAAGATAGAAAGCATTCCATCTAGTGAAAGCAAACAGTAACAGAAGTTATAGATATTTACCATAATAAGGCAATTTTCAATAGTTGTATCTTATTAGAAGTTTATTGGAATCTTTAATGAAAACGACAGCTAAGGTCTTACTATCAAATAACCACAAGCTCACTAGAACTGACAAAGTAGTAATCTTATTTAAATATGACTTTTCCAATAAGATTTCGAATAACTTTATCTAACACAACTATACTGCTAAAATATAGGAATATAGGCAGTTAGGCAGGACCTGATGTAAAGGTTATTGAATATAATTTATTCTTTCATTGGATTTATCCTGGACAGATCTTAGAGATAGAATGTTATAAAAATCAAACAGGCTTGTGATGATAATGTATACTACAGCTTACATTCTTTCATCAGTTTTGTGTTGCTTTTTAAAATAAAAATAAAACAAAAACCACAAAAACCATTCACAGCTCTGTTTTAGACAGTAGCTCTATGGAGATAAGCTTCCACAGAAAGTCACGGCAAAATATTTAAAACAACAATTTTGCAAGGATCTGAGAAGACACAGCACGCTGTAACATTCTCAATTCATAAAACCTTCTTCATTACCACTTTTCAATATAAAACCAACAAATAAAATAAAATAAAACCACTACTCTTGACAGTGTAGTGGGTTTTGTAGAGATAGAAAGCATTCTGTTTGTCAAAATAAATACTTCACTAATTTGAAATGAAGTGTGAAATAACAGTTAATTTTAATAATGATGTTTAATATCTGCTGATTCAGTTTCAACCCAGCAACCCCAGCTAGTGAAACTGCATGCGGAACTTCCTCCTCTATTCTACGGTACTTTCTTATTTTCAGAAAGACCTAGCCTAAAAACCTAAAGGCACATCTTGCCTGAAGGAGTCTGAAAAAGTACAAAAAAGTTGAAGAGGAAGCCAATGGCTAAACCAGTGGACCTATCTTCCTATGAGTGGCCCTTTGTGTAACAGTTAGAGTAGTATTCTGTGCTTTAATAAGACCTTTTTTTCCACTCTTCCACCATACTAGTACTGCTACCCATGCTGGAACACTCATTCTCTTCTGCTTTATATTCTGATACAGAAAGAAAACAACTGGAGGGGTAGGAGAAGGTAGGAGGATTCCTTAAGAAAGAAAATCTGCCAAAACTATCTATGCAAGAGAAGAGAGAGTGGAGAATTCTGACTTGTCCCTACAACACAGGATTAATGCACATGCATAAAGCGAGTAAATGCTAAATTCGACTTTTTCAGCAGCAGAAACTCATCCTGCTGTCAAACAAATTCAGGGTTAATCTTGACATTGATCTTCTAACTTCTACTCATTTACTTACAACTGGAACTGAATGTAACTGTAGGAAGCATTTTAAGTTTGCTGCCCCCTCCCTCCCTCATTTAAAATATAGCATTACCTGGAAGGGCTATGTGAAATAGTGGTTTGTTGATAATTGGAAGATGCTGGACTACCACGCATAGAATTCTGAGAAATACTAAACTGTGGAATCATCATCCCTATTGAAAAGAAGACAGCAGTATTAAATATATGCATTTCATTTCAGAAAGACTATATACCAAGAGATCTGTAACTTTATAGGCAGAAAATGTTACATGTCTGCAACTGTTAGAAAACATTAAATAACATTCATTCTGTGTAAGAATCTATTTTACATTGCAAAATAGAAAAGCATTCCTAAAGGAATGTTAATTCAGTTACAGATTTCAACAGGACTTATTTCCTTTTACGTTCTTCAAACCTCAATCCAAAATCTGCTAGTAGATAGAAACACTTTAAAACAAACATACACTCACACTCCAGTGTGTACAGTATTTAGTGTGCTAATGACTAAAAGATTCAGGAACTTCACAAACCAGAAGACTCATTAAATTTATATCCTATTTTTTTAGCAAGTAGAGGTAACAATCACCTCATACAGAAAGGTGTGAGACTCCTTTGGTAATACCTAACAGTTTCCTTTCTAATACTTACTATAACATCTTTCTGTTCTGTCTCTAGTACACTTATAAAATGTATCAGTGTGCTGAAATATTTTGGACTGCAAATTTCCCGAATTGCAGATTCCCACAGTTTGTACAGTTCAGACCTATGTTTTGGACATTCAGAAGCTGAACTATCTATCAGGTCACAAGTACCACAGTGCTTGAAACTAACAAGCATCTTTACCAGTGAGATTTTAAATCAATCTTTTTTCCTTTTTACAGTACCATTATAAAGAATTTGCTAACAACCACATGACACTGGAAGTTAAAACAGTGAAAGCACATTAAAACTTTTATGATCTTTAATCACGTGATTTTAATGACAGAATAAAATATCTCATATTTAAACAGAATCAGAATCCATGTACAAACTAAGGTTTAGGAAGCCATAACAAGTGACTCACAGAAACGGGTGAAAGCATGTCAGTGTTGCAATATTTTATACTTAATATTTCATAGAATGCTTAGATTCTATCTTATCAATCCTCCAAGTACTGTCATAGAATCAGAGAATCTTAGAAGCCTTAGAGTTGGAAAGGACCCTTAAAGGTCATCTACTACAAATCCCTGGCAATGAAGGGACATCCGAAGCTAGATCTGGTTGCTCAGAGCCTGGTTTAGATTGGCCATCCAGCCTACTATCACTGATTTCAATGACTGCAATATTTACAGAAGAAAAGCTTTTTTCAGAAATCTTCCCTCTCAACCTTTTTCCTTTCTTTTTTTCCCAACAGAGATGAGATGTGATAATCCCTCAAGAATGCAGCCGTTATCACCTCCCCAGTAGGTGTGAAGTGCTACATTCCAACCAAATTAACACATTTAAACTAGCCTAGATTAGGAGTGACAATCCCTAGTTGTGCTGAAAAAAATCAGATATCTTCATACTTCAGTAGAAATGTTATTTCATTATCCTGAGTAACAGCAGAGAATGCCTCAACTCCTGCAAAGCTCGCTTCAGTGAACACTGGCTGTCTCTTACAGAGGAGATGAGAAATAAACTCCTGTCCACAGGTACAAACCACAGAAAGGAATGTGAGAAATATTCCCTGGGCATTTCCTGTACAGTGATTTTCTGTTTGAGGAAGATCCCTCAGTGCCCAGTTCATGTATTGAAGACACTAACAAAAATATATTAGTCATCAGGTAGTTATAATTTTTCTCTCTTTTTTTTTTTTTTTTTTGGCCAAACTATTTGAACTGTGAGGGTGGTGAGGTACTGGACCAGGCTACCAAGAGAAGCAGTGGATGCTCCATCCCCGGAGGTACTCAAGGCCAGGTTGAGCACTGCGCAACCCAATCACTAAGTCAGGGCAAGCATAACCATGGCTGGGTCATGAGAATCAGATGTCTTTAAAGGTCCCTCCCAAACTGAACCGTTCTGTGATTCTGTGACAGAGAAATCCAGAAAGATACATAAAAAAATCAAGTCTTGTCACCAACTAAGTTGAAACATGCAGGACCAAACCTAGAATTTTAAACTTCTTTTATAAGAATATTAGCACGCCATGCAGGTAAGTAAGAATTAATTTGCCTTATTCTGAGAACAGTAAATTGATTGTATGATTAGTTACTAACATACGGAAAGATGACAGAACACGCCCATATTAAAACTATACAAATGCCATGCAATTTTATATGAACTATACAGAAAAGATTTCATTTTATGTTTAAAGCAGAGATAGCATTTCAAAAATACTTCTATCCTCAAATTTAAACTAAACTAAACTAAAATTGATCCACAGATGTGGTAGGTTTTAGTTTAACAGAATAAATTATTTTTTCAATGATTTTTTAAAAAATATAATTCAAAAATCTTTAGCTTGTTTTGTGGCACAGTTCTCACAGCTCTATTTATATTGAGAAGGGCAAGAAGAGAAAAAGATGGCATAGAAAGAAGAGAGTGGCAGCATGTTGGAGGGATGCAATCTATATCCTGCAGAGTAAAACTGTATCTCAAAAGTTTTCAAGTCTTCATGATAATGAAATAACAAGAAAAACAAGGAAGGGATAAAAATAGGACTGCATTTAGACTGCAAAGGAACTGAATGTAGTTTGAGGTTATCAACTCTAAAATATCTTGTACAATGTTGTCATATCACAGCAGATTTATGTCTCCATTATGTATTTCCAGATCTTAAACATCTAAGAATTTTTTAAGTGCAACTTTAATTTTGACATTTAAGTCTGGAAAAAACTGCGAAGGGATTTTATCAATGCTTATAAATAGCTAAGGGGTGGATGTTAAGTGCATGGGGCCAGGTTCTTTTTGGTGATGTCCAATGACAGGACAAGGGATACAAACTGGAACACAGGAAGTTTTCCATCTGAACATGAGAAAAATCTTTATTTTAAGAGTGACAGACCACTGGAAAAGGCTGACCAGAGAGGTTGTGGAGTCTTCTCTGGAGATATTAAAAAAACCTGCTTGGATGCTTTCATGTGCAACCTGCTCTAGGGAACCTGCTTTAGCAGAGGGTGGATGAAATGATCTCCTGAGGTCTCTTCCAAACTCTATGATTCTGTGGATTTGGTAGCATGTAGTACTGAGAAACTATCATCCCAATAATAACATTCTTATAGAAGTTTCTTTAACATACACTTCTGATTTTGACTACTTTTTTGGCTTAGAGAAAAGTAATAAAAATAATTTCAATTTTTGCACTTCAAGTAACTGTCAAAGAATATACTACACAAAGTGGCTCACATAAAATGCTTATTAACTATGACTAAACTGTTTTATAGCATCATGCATGTTTAATCTGTGAATGCTGACCCACTGGTGATTTTTCAGTAAGACGGACACTCAATTGATAACATTCCTCTGCAATGTTTTCCTACATGCACCTCTGCTTGCTTTATTGTATAAATGGAAAAAAAGAAATCTAATCAACACAAACTTTTTGAAAGACATAAATATTTTAAGCCCTCAAAAATGAGCAAGTTATATTACGAATTTTAAGACCTTTAGAAGCTTAAGCTGTGCTAAGGATACCAGCCTTCAGCAAAACACTAATTCAGCTTCCAAATATCTGTCAAAATGCACAAAGAACTGAGAGGGAAAAGAGGATAAGGAAAAAAAAAAAAAGGGTATCCACATACTACATACTATCTCATTCTTGCATTCTTAAAATAACAGAATGGTTGAGGTGGAAAGGGACTTTCTAGCCCAAGTCCCAAGCCCTGCTCAAGCAGGGACACCCAGAGAAGGGTGCCATACCTAGGACCAGGTCCAGGCAGCCTTGAAGATCCCCAGGGAAGCTCCCTCAACCTCTCTGGGCTAGAGTTCAGTCACTCACACAGTGCTTTGTGATACTTAGAAGGAAATTCTGTTCCAGTTTGTGCCTACTGCCTCTTATCCTGACACAAGACACACTGAAAGAAGCCTGGTTCTGTCTTCTTTGAACGTTCCTTTCAAGTCTTTATTTAACACTGATGAGATCCCCTGGGCTTGCTCTACTCTGGACTGAACAGTTCAGCTCTCCAAGCCTCTTCTCATGGGAGAGATGCTGCAGTTCCTTAATCATCTTAGTAGCCTTCTGTTGGACACTTTCCAGTGTGTCCATGTTTCTTTTGCACTAGGGTTCCAAGATTCAACAGAGGACTCCAAATGTGGTCTCACTGTACTGAGCAGAGAGGAAGGATCACTCTGCTGAGTGAGTGATCTCTCAACTAAGATATTGTGCTTATTGCAGCTAAGAGTACCATGAGCCTTCCTTAGGAGCAAGAACACATTGCTGACTCCTGTTCAACTCAGTGTCCACCAGGATTGCTAGGTCCCTTTCTGTAGAGCTGCCTTTGATTCGGATTTCCACAGCATGCACTGGCGCCTGCAGTTGTTTCTTCTCAGCTGCAGGATGTTGCATTTCTCCCTACTGAATTCCATGACACTTGTCAGCCCACCTCTCCAGCCTGTCCAGGTCTCTCCAGATGGCAGCAGGGCCCTCTGATGAGTCAGCCACTCCAATGAGTCTCATGTCATCTGTGAATATGCTGAGAGTGCACTTTACCCCATCGTCCACACTGTTAACGAAGATGTTAGTCAGGACTACACCCACTTTTAACCATTGGGGTACTCCACTCCTAACAGATCTCTAAACTGACTTTTCACCACTGACAATTACACTATGGGCCCAGATCTCAATCCACTTTACTGTTTGTTCATCCAGCCCATAGTTCATCAACTTTTCTGTGAGAATCTGATGGGGGCAGTGTGTCAAAAGCCTTACTGAAGTTCGGGAAGATAATATCCTGTACTCCGCCCTTATCCACCATGCTGGTCAATTCCGTATAGATTTTTATCAGGTTGATGAAGTGTGGCTTCCTTTTGGTGAATCCACGCTGAGTACTCCTGATAATTTTCTTCTCCTTCAGGTGCCTGTTCCCATCATCTTCCTGAAGACCTTGGTGAGCCTATAGTTTCCTGGATCATCCTTCCTGCTTTTTTTGAAGATAGAAGTGACATTTGCTTTCCTCCTGTCTTCAGGCTTCTCTCTCTGTTGCCACATCATATTTGTTAATCACAACGAATATCATTTCTAGCTCTAGACTTGTTGAACTACAGATGAAAATGAATTTTGGGGGGAAAAAAAGAAAAACAGCAAAAAATTGCTTGTGCTTTAGCTTGTATTTACGGAAACTGAAAACCTGTCTAGCTTTCTGGAGCCTTTGCTTTCTTTGAAAAATTGTACTGAACCAATAATTTTACTCCATGTTTTAGCCACATGGTTTTTCTGTTCCTACATAAGAAAAGAAGGTGGGAACAAATTAACTTGAGTTCACTTTGTCTATGCTAATGATGAATCTGACTGAAGTGAACAAAGAGCTGAGGCCACCCTAAGACTGAAGGTAATCCAGATGTCGGGGTGTCCCCCTTTGTTCACTTTTTCTCAATTGCATGCACTACAAATGCTGGGTCGGAGCACCTAGCACTGATTTTTCTGCACACTGGATTCAACAGAAGGTAGAAAGACAGTATTTAAAAAGAAGACAGTGAAGAAATTACAATAGATGAGCTTGAAATATTAGAAAATATTGGAGGTTGGAGGCTGTCTTGGACAGAGTGACCATGAAATGATAGATTTCTCGATTCATGGTGGAGACTGGAGGGGGAATAGTAAAATTGCTACCTTGGACTTCAGGAGGGCGAACTTTGAATTGTTCAAGGGACTAATAGGGCGAGTCCCCTGGCATTCAGTCTTAGCGAGTAAAGGGGTCCAAGAGAGCTGGTTGCTCTTCAAGAAGGAAGTCTTAAGGGCACAGGAGCAGGCAGTCCCCCTGAGCTGCAAAATGAGCCGGCGGGGAAGAAGACCGGCGTGGATGAATAGGGAGCTATTCCTGAGGCTCCGGGAGAAAAAGAGAATCTACCGCCTGTGGAAAGAGGGACAGGCCACTCAAAATGAATACAAGGAAGTCGTTAGGATGTGTAGAGGTGAAATCAGAAAGGCAAAAGCCCAGCTTGAATTTAACCTAGCCGCTGGGGTGAAAAGGAATAAGAAACTCTTTTATAAATACATTAACAGTAAGAGGAGGACAAAGGAGAATATCCACTCTTTGCTGGATGAGGCTGGGAATGTGACCACTGAGGATAAGGAAAAGGCAGAGGTTCTGAATGCCTTCTTTACGTCTGTCTTTAAAAGTCAGACCAGTTATCCTCAGGATACTCCTCCCTCTGACCTGGTAATCTCGGCTGGGGAGCACACTAACCCCCCTGTGATTCTGGAAGAAACAGTCAGAGACCTGCTACTCCAACCGGACTGCCACAAGTCGATGGGGCCAGATGAGATCCACCCGAGAGTGCTGAGGGAACTGGCGGAGGTGATAGCCGAGCCGCTTTCCATCATCTGTCAGCGCTCCTTGTTGACTGGTGAGGTCCCAGAAGAATGGAGGCTTGCCAATGTGACTCCCATTTACAAGAAAGGTCACAAGGAGGATCCGGGGAACTACAGGCCTGTTAGCCTGACCTCGGTGCCAGGGAAGGTTATGGAGCAGATTGTCTTGAGGGAGATCATGCGGCATGTGCAGGGTGACCGGGGGATCAGGCCTAGCCAGCATGGGCTCAGAAGGGCAGGTCCTGTTTGACCAACCTGATCTCCTTCTGTGATCTACTGACCCATCTAGTGGATGAGGGAAAGGCTGTTGATGTAGTCTACCTAGACTTCAGCAAATCCTTTGACACTGTCTCCCACAGCATTCTCCTGCAAAAGGTGGCAGCCCGAGGCTTGGATGGGTACACTCTTGGCTGGGTAAAGAGCTGGCTGGAGGGCCGGGCACAGAGAGTGGTGGTGAATGGAGTCAAATCCAGCTGGCGACCGGTCACGAGTGGTGTTCCCCAGGGGTCGGTGCTGGGGCCTGTCCTCTTCAACATCTTTATTGATGACCTCGATGAGGGCATCGAGTGCACCCTCAGTAAATTCGCAGATGACAGCAAATTGGCTGGAAGTGTGTATCTGCCTGGGGGTAGCGAGGCCCTACAGAGGGATCTGGACAGGCTGGAGAGCTGGGCTGGAGCCAATGGGATGAGTTTCAACAAGGCCAAATGCCGGGTCCTGCACTTCGGCCACAACAACCCCAGGCGACGCTACAGGCTTGGGGCGGTGTGGCTGGAGGACTGCGTAGAGGAAATGGACCTGGGGGTATTGATTGATGCTCGGCTGAACAGGAGCCGACAGTGTGCCCAGGTGGCCAAGAAGGCCAATGGCATCCTGGCTTGCATCAGGAACAGTGTTGCAAGCAGGAACAGAGAGGTGATTGTTCCCCTATATTCAGCACTGGTGAGGCCGCACCTTGAGTACTGCGTCCAGTTTTGGGCCCATTTGGCAAGAAAGATATGAGGCCCTGGAACGTGTTCAAAGGAGGGCAACAAAGCTGGTGAGGGGTCTGGAGCACAGGGCTTATGAGGAGAGGCTGAAGGAGCTGGGAATGTTCAGCCTGGAGAAGAGGAGGCTCAGGGGAGACCTCATTGCTCTCTATAACTTCCTGAAGGGAGGCTGTAGTGAGCTGGGGGTCGGCCTCTTCTCTCGTGTCATTAGTGATAGGACCAGGGGGAATGGTTTCAAGCTACGGCAGGGGAGATTCAGGCTGGACATGAGGAAGTATTACTTTTCAGAAAGGGTGGTCAGGCACTGGAATGGACTGCCCAGGGAGGTGGTGGAGTCACCGACCCTGGGGGTGTTCAAGGAAAGACTGGATGTTGTGTTGAGGGACATGGTTTAGTGGGAGCTATTGGGAATAGGTGAACGGTTGGACTGGATGAGCTTTTAGGTCTTTTCCAACCTTGGTGATTCTATGATTCTATGAAAAAAAAATAAGGTCTTCTAGCTGAAAAAAAAAGCATTCCACAAAATCTCTACCAAACTGTTCTACAAACTTTGAATAGATATTACAAAACCTGCACACAAAACAGAAGAAAAGCAAATCTTTCCTGACCCAGTAAAACTATATCAAGCACTTTCACCTTGGATATGTGAATGGGATATATTAACACTTAATAAGACTATCAAAATTTTCCTGAACTTATCTTAAAGACCCACATATTTCAAGATAAGAGAGTACCCCTTCCCATTGAAACTGATGTAACGCTTTGTCCATCTTTTTCAAACATTCCTCCCAAGATCATCTTCATCTCAAAATAGCTTTTTTACAGGTATGCTTCACTTTCTTCCTTCTTTCTCTCTAGTTTTCCAGTTTCACACTTAGACTTCAATGCTTCAAATGATAAATGAATTCAAAGTATGTAATACAATGGAATGATCTAGAATTTTTCAGTTCTGGTCTCTTCTGGTTCTTTGAAACAGTGTGTTAACATTATTAAATAGCATCACCTGTTCTTTTGTATTTCATTTTGCATCATTTTTAATTCTGTATCAATACCTTCCTTCTGAACAACACCATTAGCAAAATTTAGAAGGAAAGTATCTGAGTTTGTTTTCTTTCTTTCAAAATCTTCTTGTGGAAGAAAGAATTCCAAAACTATTAGCTTACTTTTCCACTGGAAAAAATTTATTTTACCCTACAAAACTGGTGCAAAACACTGAGGCAGAGTCTCTTCGTGGAACCAGTCTGTAAATGGGTAGGACAATTGCAACAATTCACACAGCTGGAAGAATCATTCTACCACATTTACCACTGAACACAGCATACAGTAATTGCTATCGGACCTTAAATTTCAGGACCAGTGAAGTTTTAAATATTTAGAATCAGGCCTATTTTTCATTCTATAAAATTTCTCCATTCTCTAGTGTTCTGTCCTACACAAGTCCTTTCCAAATCTTATGTGGCTTTTTATTCATCTAGGTGAATGAACTTAATCATTTAACATTCTTTCCTTTCCAAAATACCTCACACTTTCCATCTTCTGTAGACTCTTATGACACTTCCATCAGTATTTCTAAAATGCTAGCAATATTTGCATACTGCAAAAAATGGAAATTCTCCTAATCAATATACAGTTCGCTACTTAAAGAACAGACTTCAAGTGCAAGAGAAAAAGTCTTCAGATCTAAATCTAGAACCTGTCTCCTTTGCTTGGTGTCTCCTCCAATCTTTGCTATTTACCAATACAAACTTCAGAAGAGTCAGCTTAAAAGATAGTAAAACCTGTACGGCAACAGAAAATGCTGAGAAGAACAGTAGCAGAGAAAAGCTTTTACATATCGTTCACTTACCCTTATTCTTTAAACCTGAACTACTGAAGAACCATTGGTATTAAAGACTAACTGTAAGTGTACAGATCTTCAGTAAAATCAAGGTGTATTTTTCCAACTTCAGTTATTTACTAAGATAAATATACAAACTTAGCCAGAAAGAAATTCAAATAAATTACTTTAAAATCAAATCCAATCAAGTATCCCACAGCTTAGCTTTCAGCAGGGAAATAAAACATTATTTTCCAAAATTCCCAATAGTTATTTCACTGCTTACATAAATACAGTCTCTTTTAGAAGATGTCAAGATACATAACTCACTATTATTATCAAACACATAGTAAGGCATAGATACCACAGATGTAGTCCATATGTGTTTGTTGCTAGTATTAGGCCCTTAAATATATAGAACACAAATACAATCAGTAAATAATAGAAAATTCTTACCACTTTGTACCCCATATCTGTTTTGCATGCTTTTCTCCCTGAAAACATTAGGATTCCTTGCCAGAATAGCTTGCAGCAAAACTGGTGTATCACCCTCTGGATCATCACTGCCAAGGTTATCTTTCAATTCTCTGTGATTGTGGAATAAAGCAAATTAAGAATGCAACGTATTTTCAAATTTTAAAAAATGATTGTCAGATTTTAAAAAAATATGCTAAAATGAAAGAAAAAAATGTATTGCTAAAATAAAGAACGAAGAAACCAAGTCTGCAGAGCAATGTCCCTCCCTGTCTTAATTACTATTATTATTTTTTTATCTCTTTGTTAAACATCAGAAGAAACACTAGCTGTAGGCTCTTCAAAATTAATACACATATATCCATGGTTGCCAGTTTCAAACACTTATGAAAGTATCTTAGGCCTTAGGACTTTCATATCTTGATCTTCTCCACTGATGAAGAACTCTTTGGGTAATATCAAGAAAGGAGTCCAAGAGTGAAAATAAGGTATGCGTGAAAGCATAACATTCAGGTTATATATTTTATTTTAAAAAGGGAAAATGGCATATCAATTCCCTCTGAACTATTGAAAACGTAATACATTTTCTGTAAATACATCTGTGATTTTATTCTTTGTTTTGAAGACTTTTAATAGCTACTTCCATTTGATCAAGATAACTTGGAATATGTAGGAAAAAACCAATGCTGTCAACGGAAAGCAATTCAAAGGACATATTGCAAAAAGAGACAAAATACTCATAAACAAAAAGCAGACATTTGCTGATTCTTTTAATGTCAAAGTTTTCATAACTAAATCAGAATTCACATGGATCTTACATGGTCATCACCAAAACTCTTCTTTGGGTAATGTCAGGTATATAATTTATATATTTTACATTATTCAGCTAACTGGAACATAAATAAGTCAAGAACAGTCAAAACCATTAAATTTGAACTCACAACCAGCATTATGAAGATCAAAAAGAAAAACAAAAAAAAAGAACGAAGTTATATTTCAGAGTTACATGAAACAATTAAGTCGTACAAAGTAGTAATCTGCTAAACAAACCTAATAAAAAATTTCCCAATTCCATTGCTCAGATTCTCACATCCTTCTCAACCTTAGTTCATTTTAATCTCAAGGAACAAGGACAGTGATGGCATAAAACTGAAGTACAAAATACATACATGTGATCTGTTGACACCTGATTGAGACTGTGGATGAGCTGTGAAACCAGATTTTCATCCCTGCAAGCCAGAAGGCAGTTCACTTCTTCAGCTATTCGTCCATTGAAAAGCAGGCTCTTTGTTGTTGTGGCAGGTAAAGGTGATGGAAGAGGCAGCTGGTTCAAAACTGTTATCAGAGGAGTGAAAGAAGTTCAGAAACATTGAGCAGAACACAGTCACACAAATATTACTACCTCACATAATTAAGAAAACAAACAATCCTGACAAATACATTTAAAATATAGAGCCATTATTACATTCTCAGTTTATTCTTCTGTTGTATTAATTTCTATATAAGTTATCTTCTCAAGAGAAGGCAAGTGACGTTGGTTGGTATGACTATGGTAATTCACTGAAAATATCTATTCACAAGCATGGGAAAAAGGATTGAACTTATTGAATTTTATTGAATTTCATGTAAAACATCAATGTTTCAATTGGATTACAAATAAGTATAGAACATTTACAGGGGCATTCTTACATCTATATGTCAAAGAAAGAAGTACATCAAACCACAGGCCATGACCAGGTGATTGGTACAAGAAGAGTAAGCCAAAAAGAACAAAAAATTCTCAAATGTGTCCAAGAAAACAAGCTGAACCTGACTACTCAAACTTATTAAAACTCCAGGATGAAGGTTTCAACTGATCAATTAGAAATAGCTTCAAAAAAGAACAACGTAAATCAAATACATTCTTTCAGGTCCTCTATTTTATACTTGGAAATTCTGAAGAAAAAAAAAGGGGGGGGAGATGCCAGTTGTTTATGTTATTTTATTTTTCCAATATAACATATATAATCACTGCATGTGATTCCAGCTGCTTCTTTCCACAAGAGGGAAAAAAAAAGGGTTGGGGGAGAGTAGTCACAAGTTATCGTTTTTTACCTTCTCCCAAGTCTCTAAACTTTACATGAAAATTACAGATAAAAAGCATAAACACACCTAAGCACAGGGTCTAATACCATCTAAACTAGTTCAGTGTTTCAAAACCCCTTGTGTGAAGAAGTTTGAGCAGTGATTTCTACCAGTTACATATATTGACTTTTCTTAGAATCTTGTGTGTAAAGACTTAACTCTAGAAAATTTTCCATAGTTTGGAAACTCATGATTTGCAACCTGATGGTCCACTATTTAGCTTGCATAAACAAATACACATACACATAGATTTATATAAGTAGCATCTTTCAATTTGATATTTTAGAACAGAAAAACACAAAAAATATTTCAAGTTTTTTTTTCTCAAATATATCAGTTTTGGTTTGTGTTGTCCATTGTTTGTTTGCTTTTAAGCTAGGAAATTAAATTCAATTTTGGGGTAAACTTTAGTTGCTCTTAGAAAGTTTTTCCAAATTTCAACAGTGTCATAATAATCCATTTCCTTTACATGGTATACAATCAAGAAAGAGGCCTCATAGGTCAAGCTGCTTATTTTCATTAGCATCTAAATTTTAGAGCAACTCTAACATAATTGAAGGAATATTCACACGCACAGCGTATTTCACATTTCTTTTTTGATGAATGTATGATTTAAAGACGTCTTACTTTCTTCTTTATTTTTATGTTACCCATATATGTTTATGATGCATTAATTTAATTCTGAATTATTTAAGTGCCAGGTTTACTTCAGATTGCATTGTTTTGTTTTTAACTTACATTTTATTAAATGTTAGAATTAGCGTTATTTTATTTGAAAATACTCTATTTACAAGTTAAGTTAAAAATTTAAGTTGCAACAAAACAAAAGTAATCTTTTAAATGCCAAACCTAATTTAAATCAGATTTTTTTTTTTTTTTTTTAGTAAGTAGCGTTTCATATTTTTATAGTTTGAAAATACAAATATTCACCAAAAAGGTAAAAAGCAATATATTAAAGACCAAAAAAAAACGAAGAGTACTTACGGTCGGTAAGACTAGCAATCCCTGCAAGAGTAGTGATGGGAACATGAGGCATATCCCCATTCATCCTGAAGTTCTGGGATGGTAGTGCCTACACAGATATCTTAGTTCAGGTGCCAGCTATCATTACTTCCCATCTCCCAAGCACTGAAAAAAATGAAAAAGAAAAAAAACAACAAATTACAATGTTAGGTTTACTTTCAGCAATATAAATGAAGTGCAGGCCATAACCTCAGTTACATACTAAATAAAATTTGTCAAGAGTAGGTAGAACAATGTTAATGTAAACACTAAATGGCATAAAGCAGTCAAAAATCTGATGTCAAAAGCAAAGCCCTTCAGCAAAAACACTGCAAAATAAGGCAAGCAAAACATTTTATCGGGTTATACAGTACCGATACTCAATATCTGACTATTAGAAGTACAAAATATTAAAAGAAGTAATGAATTTTACATCTTATTTTGAAAGAAAATTGGTAGCAAAATTTCCATTGCATTTTACTACAGTGGTGAGCACATAATCCATAACCAGCTTAAGGGATGAGCTGCTACATTCACTTCTCAATTTTGGAAAAGAAACTATTTTTCATAGACTGGGTGGCTGCCAAAAATAAAATCAATAATATACAGACATAAAAATGAAAAAAAACTGTGAAAAATTCAAAATCTTAAGAGTATTTTCAAAGAAGTATCTACCTCAAAATTATTCTGAAAATCTCTGTGGCAGAACTATTGCTAGCAACTGTATATCTTTCAAAAAAGAAAGGCTTAATCCTACTAAAGAAGTTTGGTTATTTAGTGTAAAATGGTACAGTTTGCATTGCACAAATTTGTAAGTATTTGTTAACTGAGATCTCACTATGTAAAGATTCCAACTATAATGAAGTCTGCTTTAAAAAAAAAGTCAAAATCATTTCAGCTGCAGTTGCATAACAAAACTTACAAAGACAACACACCATGATCTACTATTATTACACTAATGAAATGAGAAAAATTGAGCATGGTGGTGTTTAAAGACAAACAAAATAAATTAGGGAAAAGCAACTTGATATAAATATATGTCTATCTACTATGGACAGTCACCTGTGTTGACAGTTTCTTAAATAGAAAGACCTCCATAAGTAGACTTTGTTTACTGTTGATGCTCTTACTCTTTTTATGTCATACCAACAGCAGTGTATCGGACAGTCTTACTAACAAATACATGGAGATTCCAAGCAAGAGATGAAAACACGATATGAAGTTGTCATGAACCATGGCAGTTAACTTTTCAGTTTCCCTACCTACACATAACTGATTAAAAAAAAAAAAAAAAAAAAAAAAAAAAAAGCCAACAATGAGGTTAAAGAGACTTATTTCATTTGCAGCACCTGCCACAATCTTATTATTACCAACAAGTTATATCTGTTTATTAAAAATATAGTTTATTAGAGGTGTGAAATCAAGCTAAAGAAATGGTTGCAGATGGATATACTGGATAGTTTGAATTTTTAGGTTATTCTGGTTTGCTTTAACTAGAAAGAAAAACAGCCTTTGTGAATAAAACAGCCTTTGTTCACCCAGTATAGTTTCAAATACGTACTTCAAACACCTGAAACTAACACCAACATATGCAGAATTTCAGTGGTTTCTTAGTTCCATAATAAAATTTTCTTTAAAGAACAAAACTACAACCTTACTTGTACCATGATGAGTCTGCAACAGCAAACCCACAAGTACTACTAATACTTATAGTATTTAGCCATGTCAATACTGTTGGAAATTCAGTGAGCAACACTGAAGCAAGAAAAAAAAAAAAATGTTATCACTTTCACCTCCTGATTGCCTGTATAAGGTGTAAACATCAGAGGCAGCCACTATCAGTAAGTGTTCTTTCCTGGCATTACTGCCACAATAATTGAATTAGATGAATGGGAAGAATTCATCCAGACCATTAAATCACAAACTTTCTCCATAGCTATGCAATTTAAAATGAGAACTGGTAAAGTAGCAAGATTAGGATGGTCAGTGGAGGAGGAAACTTCCATTCTAAGAGAGCTGAAGGAGTTAGTTTGTTTAGCTAACAAAACAAAGGTTAAGAGGGAATGTGGTTTCTTTCTAGCAGATAAATAAGGTTGAAAAGGAAGAATGCTAAAAAACAATGTTGATATAATAATAAACAGAGGCATGAATACTAGCAAGCAAGGTAGGTTATCAGAGCTGCCCACCAGCAAAGCAGCCACTTTCTGAAACAGCCTTCCCCTTGGAGAAGTAATAGACTTAATCAACATCTTTAATTTAAGATGGATCAAGCAGATGTTAGAGAAGGGACAGGATGTGGTTGCCTGCATCAGCAAGCAACTAAGCACGGTGACTCAAGAAGACACTTAGAGTGCTATGTTTTTGTAAGTATGATGATGTGAGTAAACAGAGCAGAGTAGGAAAAAAGACAAAAAAATTGGGGTTAAGTGATGATACTAATTTATACTACAAACATAACGTGAAGAAACTACATGGGAATATCTGAGTCCAAATATTGCATTTGTTATGTTAAGTGCAAAATTGAATCTTACACTTTTTTTTTTTTTTTGAATGGAAAAAAAAAAAAAAAAAAAAAGCTAAAAATCAATTCCAGAACTGGAGACTCGGGTCCATTGAAATTATAATTGCAATTTGTGGGAAAAAAAATGAGGAATGTTAGTAAAATCACTCATTTAGGGAATTTAAAATATCAATCAGTTAGGGTAGAAAAACTGACAACTCAAGAACAGGCTCTTGCCTTCAAACCACCAGAACATGCAAGGATTAATGGTTTGACAGATGGACATGGTTGTATTGTTGCTTTCTCTTCCATTCCTGAACAACAAGAAGTAAAAAGCAATAAATTGTAGCAACTCACTATTAGTCAAGGAGAATCAAAACGTATTAATTTTTAGATAGTACTTTACATTATCATCTTTGTAGAGTAGCTACTATTGAAGCTACAGAATTCCTACCTCCAGATTGAAAAAAAATGAAAGCATATTGTCTGAGTTACGGAAATTAATGAACTGCTGCATTATTTAGCTTCTAAACAATGAATAAGAGTGTAGCAGTTCAAACAGAGAAGTGCACATCCAATTTACATATACGCAGAGCACATCTTGCATGTTCAGAATACACTTAATTATTCTTGCTCTCTCCTGGAAACAGAGAATATGTAAAACTTATTCCAGGGAGAAAAAAACTGCAGAACCCAATGGAAGTGATACAAAGAACCCCTTAGTGAGGAAAAACAGTGAAAGGAAGACATATGTTAAGAATAATATAGGAAAAGACATCATCATAAGACATAGCAAAAAGTGCAGTCACGACAAGCATTAAAAGTGATATTAAAAGAAAAAGTTTATCCTATTAATAATGTTTTTTAACTACCCTTTTTAAGTATTACTTTAATATGTTGGTTTTTACCTTCATTTTTTGTCAGTTATATATATATCCTCCTTTACTGTAAAATAAACATTCCAAAGAAAATTTCTAACAGAAAGATAATTTTTTAAAGCTGATTGCTTATTTGTTCTTAAAAGGGATGATAAAGTTAATACCTGGTTGATAGAATAGTTCATAAATAGAAAATACTGACTGCCTTCAGTACTGACTGTGCTGCACTGAAGGGGGGTGGAGGGGTGGGAGTGGGAGAAAAAAGGGAGGGAGGGAGGGAGGGAGGAAAGAAACGAGCTGAGTTTGTTCTGTTTTCATTCTTATTTTTTTTCCTCTTCCCAAACACTGCACCATCTGACTTTCAAATAAAATTGCAGTACTCTGACTACTGATTACCACACATAAAGTTGAAATTCTGCATTTATTAAATGCTCCTCCTTGTTGAAATAGTTCTGATCTTCCTTAACAAAAATAAGGTTTTTTTCCATTGCTTAACTTTGTTCATGCATGAGCTTGTACACAGTAACACACATGTTCAGTAAGTCAGTACATACCGTCAGCTTTGTAACCAAACTCAGGATTCAGAAATTAAACATACATGCTAATATGTTTAAACATTTCATTCCTCATACTACAGCGTTTGCTTTAACTTTTAAACTAACTTTTCTTTAACTTTTAAATCTCTAGACTTAAAAATCAAAATAACAACAACAAAATACTTTTATATGACTGACCTAATATGCTCCTGAAAAGATTAAAATTAAATTGCAAGAATGACTATGGTATTACTTCTCTATTTTTTTAAATCATTCAACTAAAAAAAATATTTTAAACACATCACATTCCAATTAGTGCAATTATCAAATCTTTTAAATATTCTCACTCAAACTAAAAAGCAGTTTTTCATTTCTTATGGAGCTGAACAGTATTGGTATAACCACAGTACCATGATTAAAGCTGATGTCTGCAACTGCACCTCAAATTAAATCAGCACAACTCATGTATCAGCTATCTTTAATTTAAATGAGCAGTGAAGTTTTTCTTATCTTCACAAAATCATCAAATATACAATAAACCATAAATCGTTTAAACTTCCATATTTGGCAATAAATTGCTTTTCTCATTAGCTACTATGTTTATATGAATCTCTTCCAGCTGTCAGTCTGTAAAGTAGTGCCTAAGGAAAAAAATATCACTTCAGAAATGAAGCGAGCCAAAAGGATCATGAATTAACACCCTCTAATTCTCACTTGCACAAGACAGAGTCAGAATAAATAACAATGCATACCCACAAGAGGGCAGACTTTCGGCTTTCAAACCAGAGCTACAGTTTAATACAACTACACGAAGTCTGCTCCAAGTTTCCTGATATAATTCTTCCCCGATCAGTGCTTCATATTAAGAAACGAGTGAAGGTTCTTAGCACTAAATCTGTCTTTGGAAAGTCAGCATCAAAACTGAACAGTAATTAATCTGTAATTAATTCTATAATTTCACCTATGGAAGGGAAAAAAAGCGAGTAGGGGAAATTAAATTTGAAAATACATATGTGGAAATCCCAGAAGCAAAGAATCAGATGAAATTCAGTGTTCTAGTGAAAGCTGTGCTTGATTCATAAAATGATCAACTGGTGGAATGTGAGGGATGTTGATAAACCAAGTGAAAGACTAAAGATTTCCAAATCAGTGTAACAGTATCTTCCTAAAACAATTCCAGCAATAGCTCTTCAAATCACTAAATAACTACTA